GGTAGAGGAACATGACCTCAATAGACTACGCACACCATCATCAGTGTGTTCTTGAACCCACGACTGTCTGGATAGAGCCCTGCGTCTGTTGCCACAAACCTCCGCCCTCCTTTCCATCCTTTCAACTTTCTGCACTTTCCACTCGATTTCTCTTTTGTAGATGTAACCACAAAAAGATTCATTTTTACCCACCTGCACTTTTTTTATGGTATCAAGTTAAATACAGTCAGTTGTACCCAATAACCCCCTTTTATATTTCCGTTAGTGTTGTGTGTCTCTTGAGGGTTTTTCAACATCCAGTAAGCCGCAAATACAAACCAAAGACTGGCTGTAGGTGTGGAGAGAAACTGAAGGCAGGCTGTGAGAGGGCTGTGCTGGTAGCAGAGCGTGACTAAGATATTGGAAGAGGACTACAGGGAATGATAGAGGAGGGCAGAGAGGGGGAGGAGGACAGGGGAGAAGAAGTGCAGCAGGAGGTTTGGAAGGGGAGTGCTCTGCAGGAACGTTTCAGTATTCTTATGGTAATCCAGCCTTGGATGAGCCTCAGAAGCAGCCAAGCAAACAATGAGAGTGGAGCCAGGAAGTCTGCTCTCCCTGCTGGCCGGCGTGACTTGAGAGGCAGGAGCTGCCTGTAAGGAGGGGCCCCCAGGAGGGGCCAGGGAAACGCATGCCAGCACACATATCCACATACCACATTTACTCAATCTACAAGTTAGAGAGCATGGTTGGCGTTGGTGAAAAGCATGTTTGTGTTGTTGTTTGCGTGTGTTGTGATTGAGGGACTTGTTTTTCTGAAGACTGTATAGAAATGGATGCATTTCAGTGCTGTCATAATTACTAGTACAGTTTTGGTGATGTACTTTTGCCATTGCTTTTAATAGATTATCATTACATATGCTTTATAAATCTGTACCATATTGGTTATCTGCTGATATTAGAGGTTTTTTATTTACACCATATTTAAAAATATTAAGTGAATTGTCCATGTTCTGATTTTTGTTCTTTTTCTGTTCTTTTGCTCTGTGGTTTTTGTTTTCGTGTATGGCTCTGGTTTTGAATGCATTTCTTCAGTGTGCACCGATCAAGACCACAGACTTAACAGGATCTCGGGTGATCCCCTTTAGTTGTTCATCTCATCTCACCTGCCTTTCCAAAACCTGTCTGAAAGGGGATGTTTGGCCTCTTGTGGTTATCCTTTTATTCTATGAAATGGACTTAGCTGGAAAAACAAAGATATTCAAAGGCCCTGTCAAAGCAGCATTATCTTTAGGGAAACGAGTGACACGGCTCGCTCTGTTCTTCCTCAGATTTCTGTCTCCACAGTGACTTCCCTTTCAAGCATCATATGATTGACGACTGTGGGAATGCCTTCCCAGAAACCACACGCCATGCCTCAGTGATTTGCTATAAGGTGTGGTCATTCTATATGGTGGCTACAGTTGCTTTACCTTTACCCCCATCTCTCTGGTCTTTCATCCATTCAAAGGAAATTAATGAGGAGCTTTCCTCTGAAAGAATGCTCAGTGAGACTATAAATTATGCGATTTAGCTGCACAACTCCATGGCATCTTTGCCTTCTGATTTAATAGTGGTCCATCTGCTGCAGAGATTTGCTTTGTGCCAGTTTTCAAACTCTGTTATTGTACTACCACATTGGTAGTAATTCTAGTAGTTCTTAACTAGAGCAAAATGATTTTCCAAACCATGCCTTTATGTGATTTGGATCAGAAATCATTTCAATAATTTCTGAAACATGAGATATTTTTTATGAGATATTATTAGGGCCCAAGCCATGAAAAGGCGAAGGCCCTATAGTTTTCCTTAGGATTATTTTTAATTATTTTTTTTTACTTTAGGCTATATTATTTGTGTGCTGTGACTGTGATGGGAATGATCTTGCTGACAAATGTAAGTGTCAGAGGCCTCAAGATAGGATTGTTCTATCTCCTTCAGCACACTTCCTGTCCTCAGGCCCTGAAGCTTTCCGCACTGACTAGTCCTGGCATTCTTTTACCAGTCTTTGGCCTTTATCTCTCCTATGGTGAAACTACAAAGGGATTCTAGTTGTTTACAGGCTTTAGAGGTACACTATGTAACTTTTGGCCCCCTAGCCAAATGCATGCATTTTGTGGAAGAACATTGTTTTGGTTGTGCTTCGGCTTTGCGTGACTGTGCGGATGAATATGGTTATCCTACTGCTCATTTACATTTACATTTATTCATTTAGCTGACGCTTTTATCCAAAGCGACTTCCAATTGCTATATATGTCAGAGGTCGCACGCCTCTGGAGCAACTAGGGGTTAAGTGTCTTGCTCAGGGACACATTGGTGTCTCACAGTGGATTCGAACCCGGTGTTCTGACGATTTGTGCTGCCTTGTGGAAAAATGCTACCGTAGCGCGAATCGATCACAGAATGTCGATTAATATTAAATGAAATACAATTATAACACAATTCTAAGTTATGAGTAGCTACTGTATACTGTAAACTACTGTTTTTATTTTTAAAACGGTGTGAAAAGTAAAAATTATCATCAAATATTCATCTTTGACTTGTTAAAGCACACCTTTCCTTAGTAACTGAAACTTTCAGTTATTCTTGTTCAGCTGACTGACCGTACAAATATTCATATGGTAGTTGGCATTTTTAAAAGGGAAATTACTTTATAACACATGAAAATTTACCTTTTGTTAAAAAAAAACTGAGTCTGCACATGCGCATAACCAGTAAGTAGCAAATCTCGATGGGTAGCATGAATCGTCAGAACACCGGGTCTCTCACACCAAAGGCATGTGTCTTATCCACTGCGCCATCACCACCACTCATAAAACATTCACTACTAAGCTTAAGAGATATAAACAGTTTAGATGGAAAGGATCTTTTGCTGACTAGCTGAAGATGTTATAATAGCAACGCCCATTAATAGACACTGTAATTCCTTGAAAATAAATCCCAGCACATCGACATCCTTCACGCTCACGTGTAAGCATAAAGCTCAACTTGCGTAGGAATGGATTGAAAATGCTTGCTCTGCTCCGCACCAGTAGACACGCACCGTCCGTGAGAGGCCTTCGGCCATCTTGCTTCTGATATGAACTCTCCCATTCATTGATATGGGCAGTGAAAAAACATGTGCTGTTCACACTTCGGTGACGCTTGCGATGTGAAACTGTTTAAAACAAAGACTTCGGTTAACCTTTAAAAGTGCGATCATCACACTGCAACATTCAAATCTGCGTTCGCGAGCAGCTGCCATGTAAATGTACAGTATGAAGCAGCATCACAAACAGTGTTTTCAACCACACATTAACGTTATTTATGTGTTACAAATATTTAAATAAAACAGGATAAAAGTTTATAGTTTGGGTATAAACACGGTATTTATCAAAATAAGGGTACATTTTTAAAAAGTATTTTGACACTTATATGTATTGTATTGAATCGTTATGCCAGGAGTTGGCGTGTTTAAAAAATCAGTTATTGAATCATTCATTTAAAAGATTTATTCACAAATGCTGATTCATCCAATAATGGCATTCAAATAGTTTTTTATTTCATTCAAATTAATATATCTTTTAAATAGACTAAAGCAATGACCATTTTGCTGTTGCTTGGCCCTCTGTAATTATATTGCTGGACCACCAATCACAGACCTGAAAGCATTATGTGGAAAACTCTAATATGGAGAAAAATGTGGGCGTCTACACAACACAAACTGAATAGGCAGGTTTGAAGGGTTTATTTCCTCAAAAATATTTAGATGTTTATTGTCAATTTATGAATTTCCAAAATAAATAACATTAGAACTGATGAATTTTTATTACAAAAGTTTTTACTTTTCTAAACTATTATTTAAAAGTTTGTAAATATTTTTTACAATGGTTTAGGCTCTCTATGATGGCCCGGATGGTTCCCCTCTGGTATAATAATGATGGCGATTAATAATAATAATAATAATTATTATTATTATTATTATTATTATATTGATAAAGAATTGTATTTATTAAACATTCTCTTATTTTTGTGTCATTGTTTTTTCTTGTTTGCTAAGAAGAAAAGCCTTTGTGTACATTAATTGTACTCCCTGTGAACTGCCTTTTGGTTTTTCTATTTTTATTTTTTATTTTTACCAGAGATGGGTTAAGTTGTTAACCTGTTGCAGGTCATATCTCTCCATCCCTTGCCCTGTGGTCCTGTGTGGAGAGGGATCCAGTCTTTCTTAAGGGGTCCCAGTGAGCCAAAGGAGCCCCGCCTTTTGTTTCCCCATTACCCAGGAGTCAGGGAAGTGTGAAAAGTAGGGCGCAGGTCGGGGCTCTTTGTCCCCCTTGGCCAAATGAAAAGTGACAGACACCGGCCCCCTCTCTGTGCCTGTTAATTCAGGCCCCCAGTCCTGCAGAGCCTCTGGGAGCCACTAATTGCATCGAGACAAGCAGGAGCTAAGAGAGAGCAGACACATTATGTTATTAACGCTGGACAGAACCCAACACTAGCCATTTGAAAGGGACACTCCTTAAAGGGATAGTTTACCCCCCAAAAATTTTTAATTCTGTCATGATTTACTCACCCCCATTTTGTTCCAAACCTGAATGACACAAAAGAAGATATTTTGAGGAGTGTTGGTAACAGTTCAGATCACCATTGGCTTCTATTGGATGGACAAAACAACACTTTCTCAAAATATCTTCTTTTGTATTCCACAGAAGAAAGGTTTAGAACAAAATGAGTGAGTAAATAATGACAGAATTTAAAATTTTGGGTGGACTTTCCCTTTAGGCAGCCTTCCAGACTTGAGAGCCGCCATTCCACATCTCCACTCTGATACAGGGTCAGGGGTCACGCTCTCACAAGTCACAATGCTAAGATGGAAGTGCAAAGGAATTTTAATACCACCTCGGTCCTTTCTTGCTTTCTTGCTTGCTTGCTTTCTGGCACAGAGGAAGGAAACATGTCACGATGATGGATCTGAAATATTAATAAGTGTTCCTCTCTCTTCATTACAGGGTCTTAAACAAGAGGAGGCTGTAAAGAGGCCTTGAAGTCGTCTTCATACTCGCATACTCTTCCTCAGTCTACTCGCGTTCATCGCTAATTGGTCACTTCGTTGTCTTAAAAGTGGCAGAGTACAACACAACCAAGACAGCCATACATCGTTGTATCCAAGCCAACATCATGAAAAGCACCTCCATGGTCGTCGTGTTTGCCGCTTTGGGAGCTGCCGTCCTCCTCTCACTGCCAGCTGAGGGTAAGACAGTTTGATTATTGTAAAATGTCTACACTTGATCATTTCTTCCTTCTCAGTGGACCATGCAGATGACAGTAGATGCAGAGTGTCTGTTTTGAATCACAAACCCCTATAGCAAACAAAAAATGTGTTTTTTGTTTGGTTTCGTTTGAGTGAGGGAAGAAGGCGAAAACTGGAGATGACTAAAAGGGTCATCTGTTTTGTTTCATCTGGATGCACAATAGAAATGCAGCAGCAATTTATAATACAAACCAGCAGGAGAATTGATTTAGCCGTATTTGGATGATACCCAGTGTTTGCAGAAGCCTCACTGCCTGTTTTAATGGATGGTGGCCTTTAAAAACATAGCAGGATAATGGCATCACTTTTTATTCTCATCAGGCCCCGAAAGCACAGAATCCGTCTCTTCACATTTGCGATGCATTAGCGAACAAACACTATCTGCCAAGATATTCATCTGAATTACATTATTTAATTTTATTGATTTGATGCCCTTGTGATCTTCTCTCATATGGGTCGGCAGTAATGGAGACTTTGTCTTCATTTCAGGTAAATGCAGACATGAGCGACTGCACACTTCTTTTCTCTCAAATGACTCGCATTATCAGAATGTAATGGCCCCCGTTAGAGACTGTTGTGTGGCATTCATGTAGTCTTTAGGTAGTTCATTCATTTACTCAGCAGTGATTGTATTGGAGAATACACATCTTTGGGTGTGTGGAGAGGCCATTGGGGTCACATTTGACTGTGCATAGAAACAATGGTTTGGGTAATTGGTTTGAAATTGTGAGTGTTTTTATATGTTAAGGAGAGGGTTGGGGGAAGAGGGTGTCAATGGGCAAGATTGTAGATGTGTGTATTTAGGTGAATGCTGATTTTCTTCTAGGGTTTTACACTAGTGTGTTAATGAAGGTAGTTGAAGGGTGAATGGAATTAGTGTTGAAGTGTTTGAGCAAAGCACAAAAAACTAGCTATGATCTATGGAAAATGTTTTCTTTTATTTTGAATTTCTTCAAAATGGGGGTGTATGCAAAATTGGTTTAGATATGGTAAATTAGGTTGATAAATGATAAAATAAGGGGAAAAAAGGTACAGGTACAGGTTAAACGTTTTTTTGAAAGAGGTTTCTTATGCTCAACAAGGCTGCATTTATTTGATCAAAACTACAGGAAAATAGTAATATTATGAAATATTACAATAGATAATAACTGTTTTCTATTTTAGTATATCTTCAAATGTAACTTATGGTTCAAAGCTGAATTTTCAACAGCCAACACTCCAGTCTTCAGCATTATTTTTTCACATATTTTATATTATTGCATCACCTCCCTTTCAAGTTTGTCTCAAATGCTCTGTTAAAGGGGTCATATAATGGTACATGCACTTTTACAAGTTGATTGTACTGAAATGTGTGTTGGCAGTGCCTGTACACAACCATCATAAAATGATAAAAATCCATCCAGTGTTTTTGTTTTAATCTCCTTATATGTTTTCCCCTGCCTCAAATCAAGCCGTTCGACCGTGTGACGTCACACGGTCGGAAGCCCCTCCCACGATTGTTGATTGACAGGAGCGTTTCAACACAGACCTGCCCTCGCTTGTGAGGGAGCTGTCAATCATAGTCCGCGCGGTCAGGCGCGTCCTTGTTTATATGCTGGAGCACTGTCTATGAGCAGAATGGCGTCTAAGCGATTGTGGTGTTCTGTTCTTGGGTGTAATAACGAACACAGCAGTCATTTTAATGTTCCTAAATCCGAACCGCTGAAGACGCAGTGGCTGAGTTTGTTTTCGAAGGGAATATTCCCCACGAGCAACGTCAATGCTTTCATGTTTGCGCGAATCATTTCTCACCAGACTGCTTTATAAACGAGGATCAGTATAAAGCTGGTTTTGCTAAGAAGCTGCACCTGAATAAAGGATCGGTACCAACTATTCGTGTTCCTGCTGAATCTCCAGAAGAACGGAAGTGAGTGTAACGTTTTATTAAACTTTATATTAATATTTATATTAATCTTTGCAAATCGCTAGCTGCACGCTTCACAATGAATGCGTCTAAGGTGTACACTCAGGGTACATTACGGCATGTTTTCTATGTATGACGTTCTCAATATAATTCATAATCCCACGTTTATACTGAACAACGCGTTATGGTTATTGTGTTATTGTGTTACAAATGGTGTATGCACAGAACAGAGAGGCGGGGTGAGCAAAGCTCATTATCATTTAAAGTCATATGCACTGTAACGGCGTGCTGAAAACAGAGCTGTTTTTGACCAGGTAAAATAAGTGTTTTCTTACAATACTAATGAGAATTTTTAATTAAAGTATATTACAAACTTTTAATTTAGACCCTAAAGAATCATATTAGCTTGTACAAAAATGGCATTATATGACCCCTTTAAGTTCCTGTTTCGATGAAGCCCCTCCTTCTGAAACACGAAATGTGCTCTGATTGGTTAGCTGGACCAGTGTGTTGTGATTGGCAAACTGCTTGGAGTGTTTTAAATATTAACAATGGCATTTTCCCATACCAGTTCGAGCCCGATTCAGACCCTGGGAAAGTTTTCGATCAAGATGATCGTGCAAAACCTTTGCAAGCACAGATTTTACAGGACTTTTCAGAGTGGAAAGTTCCTAAGGATCAGTGAACAGTCTTACAAAAGCGAGAGCCATTGTAATGTTGCCCTTTGTTTACATCGTAGCAATAACATAAACTTTTAATTGGATCTGTTAATAGCAAAACAACAAGTAATAAAACATACTTACATGTTGTGATCCATAAACAACTGATTGTCCTGACAAAGCTGTCCTCCGTAAAATGTGCAGCACACAGATAAACTTGCGTTCTCTTTTTGCAAGCAGAAGCTTCTCTGTTTAGCATTTTTTTTAAACAGGTGATTCCCCAGAGGTCTTTCTCACTCTTTGTGACAACTAATCTATGCCACTCTCATGCTATACATGCATCAAAGTAGCCGTAGCAACTTTTCTCTATTTACGGATATGACGAGACACACACGAGCGAGTGACGCATGTATGCAATTTCCTGCGAAAACCATCCTGCTCGGTCTAAAATATAAAAACGTATAACAGGCATAGTTAGTAAGACAAAAACACATTTTGGAAAAAGGATTGATGATGTATTTACTTTACTATATTGTTAATTTAAAAAAAAAAAAAATGTTACATAGTGTACAGTAGTGTACTTTAATCAGAGTTTTTGGTGCTTGTCATTTTGTAGACAGACAAATTGACATAGACTGTCTAAAATTACCTGATGCTTATCTATAGCTGAAAGCTTAAAAAGTAAGCCAAAATATTCAATAAATAAAGATTGTGGTGATGTGCAAATGCAAAACTTTGTCTGTGACGGGTGCAGTTCTGTTGAGAACTGTGCCGCGTACTGTGTATATTTGCGGGCACAGATTCATGTGAGCCTAGCTATGAGTCAAAGCACACTTAGTTACGTAATATGTTGCTATGCAGTCAACAAGTTTTTTTCAGGCTACAAAACAACACTCAGCAATTTTGCAGTGGACTACCCTTGTTGCTTAAAAACAGTAGATTCATTGTTTACATTTGACTCTTGAGTATCTCAGAGTTGCCCACTAAATGTCATAAGGTCTTACTATCTGTTTCTGTTTAGTTCTTTGAAGTTTATTTTTCTAAGTGCCTTTCTATTTCAGGGAATGATATCTTGGAGTTATAAACGCTGTCTATTCTTGGCAACGTGAAAGCCATGGGAGAGAGCTTTTTCCTCCTATCAAGAATTAGAATTACGCCTCTACGGAGTCTGTTAAGAAAAAAAAACAGATTGAAAGAGATTAGGAAGTTTAAATTACTGTCAAAGCTCACAACCCCACTACCTCCTTTTAGAGTTAAGCTTGTAATATTGTATACAAAAGGAAATGACCAAGGCAAATTTAAGTCTCTGGGGTGGGAATGCATTTTAGAAGCTTAATTTCCCTCTGTTTTTTTGGTACAACAGTTTAAAAGTTGTTTTTGTTCACTGCACTGACACAGTATTAACCTTACAATTGTTTGGAGTGGTCACTGTCTACTTGTTAGGCTCTTTTTAAATATATTCTTCCTTCTGGTGTTCCCCTCCCTGTAAAGGAACAAAAGAAGAAATGGGTGCTGGCTGCTGGCAGCATTTCTCTCACTCATAAAGTCAACCAGAGCCTTTAAAACTAAGGATAACTACCCTCGGTCATTGCAAAGGTTCCTGTTAAATGGGGAGGGAGACTAGAGTGCCAATGAGAACAAGACAGAGTGAGAATTGAACTGTAGATGAATGCTGCTGAGTGTGTTTTGTAGTTTGTTTTTCCCCTCTTCTTTGTGAAAGCTGATCTGAGGGCAGGTCAACGTCTGACACAGAATAATCTCTCCTGACTGTATATGGCGGCATGTTCTTCTGAGAAATGTCATGTCATTCAACACATTTAACAGGCTTGAGCTAATAAATGAACTATGGAGTTTTCTGCCTTCATTGGAGAAGGTGAGGTTGAGCACTTATAGGTTGAGCCCCATAGGACAGGAAAACCGGCAGCAGGGCGTTATAGTTATAGAAAATATAGAAACCCAAGTAGGCTGAAATATAACAATCAAATTGAGGCATTTTTATTTATACAGTAAATTCTCAGAGATTGTGAGAATAAATATTAAGCAAATCTCAAATTGTCTCAAATTTACTTGTAGCATTTAATACAATTTTATTTTTTGTTGCAAACTTTTATTGGTTGATGGCCACAACATGCTTATTAATATTAGCTTTGAATAAATCACTTGCTTCAGTGTCCCTGTGCCCTCATTTCCCATCCTGCACTGCTCTACCACGCTGGGCCGCCCGCCCGGGCCCTACTACAGGAAGCTTGTTGAGTCTATTGTCGATGCTGTGAGTTTCCCTGACACTTTAACTATTTCCGGTATTGCACTGGCTGACAGGTAGCGAGCTAAATATGCCAAATGCGTGCTGCTCTCCAGGAAATAATCATTACTGTCTG